TGCTTTTGCCATCAGTAGGGGACTGGTTAAATAATATTGACACACATTCATATAATAAAATATAGTTGAGTCATTAAAAGAAGTGAGGTGTGTTGAAGATAGAGCTACCATATGATCCAGCAATTGCACTACTGGGTATTTACCCCAAAGATACAAATGTAGGGATCCAAAGGGGTATGTGCACCCCAATGTTTATAGCAGGAATGTCCACAATAGCCAAACTGTGGAAAGAGCCAAGATGTCCATCAACAGAAGAATGGATAAAGAAGAGGTGGTATATATATACAATGGAATATTATGCAGCCATCAAAAAGAATGAAATCTTGCCATTTGCAACGACATGGATGGAACTGCAGGGTATTATGCTGAGTGAAATAAGTCAATCAGAGAAAAACATGTATCAAATGACCTCACTTATATGAGGAATTCTTAATCTCAGGAAACAAACTGAGGGTTGCTGGAGGGGGATGTGGCAGGGATGGGGGTGGCTGGGTGATAGACATTGGGGAGGGTATGTGCTCTGGTAAGCGCTGTGAATTGTGCAAGACTGTTGAATCACAGATCTGTACCTCTGAAGCAAATAATATATTATATGTTAAAAAAAAAAAAGAAGAAGATAGCAGGAGGAGAAGAATGAAGGGGGGAAATCGGAGGGGGAGACGAACCATGAGAGACTATGGACTCTGAAAAACAAACTGAGGGTTCTAGAGGGGAGGGGGGTAAGGAGGATGGGTTAATCTGGTGATGGGTATTAAAGAGTACATGTTCTGCATGGAGTACTGGGTGTTATACGCAAACAATGAATCATGGAACAGTACATCAAAAACTAATGATGTAATGTATGGTGATTAACATAACATAATAAGAAAAATTAAAAACAAAAGAAGTGAGGTGTGTGTGTGTGTGTATGTGTGTGCATGTGCATCCAAATGCCCAAAGAAAATTGGAGAACACCATAAACAATATGATTCTTTTTATGTAAGGGAAACTATAAAAAGAAAGCAGAAATATTACAGATATTAAAATTAATAGTAGTTACTTTCATTGATGGAAATTTTATGCACCTTGGGCAAGTCATAAAGAAAGGATAAGTAGCCTTTGTAATATTCTGTCCTGTTAAAACTTTTTTCCAACAAAAGTATTTCTAATAATGGTCACTAAATTTTTATATTGTAAGGCCAAGTCCCAATGACATTAATTTCATCCATGAATGAATGAAGTCTTCCATAAATATTCCAGACAAAAAGAATCCTTCTCTCCTGTAAACTTTCGGTAAATATTTATATTTTTCACATTATATTTCTCTTTTTTTGTTTGTTTGCTTAGTTTGACATATATCTCCTACTATAGTAAAGGTCCTTGGTAATAGGACTCAGATTTCACAGTAGATATGAACATTTCTATCTATCTATTGATATATCTATCATCTATCAATCATCTACCTATCTCCATCTCCATATCTATATTTCCATACAACATGAATTGATTGTATAAAAATTTCTTCACTTTTGAGTCAATGCCTTCTTAGTTTACTCAATCAGCTTAATTTTCCATTTTAGAAAATTATGACTTGCAGTGCCCTGCTTGGAATATTCTTCCATATCAACCATCCATCCAAACTATCTCCAATTTTATCCTTCAAAATCTTACCATTTAAATACTCAAAAAGAGTTCATTATTCATTTCTAGTTTTACAGTGTTAGAAGGTATTTGTATATATTTTTTCTTATTGCACATCCATCAATCTTTGTATTTATTAAAATAGACAGTTTATGAGAATAAACTTCATGCAATTTTGTCTCTATTAAAATGGTGGGAGATCATTTCATCAAGTATTTTGTAAAGTCCTAAGAAAAAAATATTTGGTGGATTTTGTAGATGGAAGTCAGATTTTGTGGAGGGATTTTGCCACTTACAACATTATAGATATAAGATAGAGGGGAATACTGAAAAATCGTTATTACAATATGCAAATGTACTATGAGGAGAAAACAAAAGCTGAAGATGGCTTTATCTATACTCTATCAGTAAACAGGTTGCACAACACGAACCTCAATGTTGTCCCTATTGTCAGAAATGTGTTTTGTAACTCCTCACCTTAGGGAACAAAGTAGCCTAAATCAAATAACGAAGTAACAGGTAAATGGAACAGAAGCAATTGCATTAATAATCATATCCTTCCTAGATTATCTGTTTGTAAAGTCATCAACACCCCTTTATCAATGCAGACGCCTTTCTGTAGGATGATATCTAGAGGCAGTCTTTAAACAATGGAAGGAAATTACTGAGGGGAAGTGATTTAGGGGGTTAGAGAGAGCAGAGTGACAGGTATTTTCAAAATGGGATTGGCAAGTTGGCTTCCTGCAATTTAATGAAAATACCTGCCTAGGCCAAACCCCGTCTTTGGTTTGAGCTAAGTGTATTTCCTTTGGTGGTGATACAAGAAAGAGGAGGCAAATGATGAAGCAGGAATTACATGCCATAACCTCCCCAGAAATACTGCAGGCTTGTGGCCATAACTATATAAGGGGCTCTATGTAGTCCCGGAATGAAAAAGAACTATGTGTCTACATTCTATTTCTGTCCTTACAAATTTCTGATTTTTTTTTTTGCAGCTATCTAAGAAAAATTTGATATTGTTGTTGTCTAAGCACATTTAAACTTCAGCTGAAATAACCGCCAAGTGATTCATGCCTATGTAGGTGAATATAACGATTGTATCTGGAGCCCCAGTGCGCCATTTTCATTTCACTTTAAATAAAAAACAAAATGTATCTATGTCAGTCAGTGCCCTTCTGCTGTACTCAGAGGTATCAAACAGGCTACAATTATGATTGTGAAGTGATTGTGTCACATTGGAGGAAGGTTTATTGCTTTTGAGTCTGCTAGGCGGTAACACATTCTGTTTCATATTACTCTTTATATCATTGTTTGGCTGTGACTAGAATAATCAAATGCCATCAAACGCTGTCAAATTCAATTTACAGTATTTTTCATTGAAGCGGGCTTTCTGCATTATATTTCCTGTTTTCCCTCTCTATAGCTGCCATGGAATAGTCACTGTAATCATGAGCTTTATTTACAAAACCAACAGACTGAAGCCACGTCCTGCTCTATAACAGATACTTTATTTCCCTTTATTCAGAATAGGAATTTGATGTGCTTTTCTCATACAATTAGCATTAAGTAGATGAAAGAAAACTATTCCAAGAGGATGGGCATTTTAGAGCCTGCACTAATGTGCTTAGCGTAAAATGTAAATTCGCATTAGCCATTTTTACGTGTTCGTGTGTATTTGAATCAGAAATATTATTCTTCAAATTAATGTTTGCTGAGAAGAAATTTGGCTTGCTCTTTTTTGGCCATGTAATTTACATAACCAGAAATGCAATAATACTTTCTCCTTTCATAATTTTCCTACAAACCCTTACTCATCACTGACCTGAATCAAAGGGTTTCAATACGTGAAGTTGCAAGAGGAGCCTGAACTAAGTTTCCCAACATATTCAAGGCATCGGACCAAACAGGGGAAGGTGTGAGGCCGATGGAGAGACTAACAGACCATGTGGGAGTAGGGGTGAGAGTCTGAGCAAGAATGTATTGTTCTCCGTTTGCCTAATGTAAATATGTGGCTTTTGGAATGGGGTTTTCAATCAGCAAATCCCTTATGTCTGCTGGTAGCTATCTTCCATAGCGTCTTTTCTCAGACAGTTATGGTCAGGAGGTTCTGTGTCTCCTCCACCCCCAATTCATACGCCAAATTCCAAATGCCCAAGGTGATGGTATTAGGAGGTGAGACATTTGGGAGGTGATTGGGATATGAGTGTGGAACCCTCATGATGGGATGAGTGTCCCTTCTAACGGAGACCCATGGAGCTCTCTATTGCTTCCGCCATAGTGAGGACACAATGAAATGACAGCTGTCTGTGAACCAGGAAGTGGACCCTCACCAAACATGGAATCTGTCAGCACCTTCACTTTGTATTTTCCCAACTTCCAGAGAAATAATGTGTGTTGTTTATAAGCCACCCAGTTTATGCCATTTTTGTTACAGCAGTCCGAAGGGACTAGAACAGAGAGCAAACTCTCAGTGGACAGGTTCTTTGCCTCCTTGATTCTCTTTCTGTTTTACTTTTGCCTTCTCTCCTCTCTTCCTCCTTCTCCCTCAAGGTTCCTCTGTAATTCTGTTTCCCCTTCTCTCTCTTTCTCTCCTTCCCATTCTCTCTTCTCCCTCTCTCCCTCTGCTTCTCCTCCTCATTATTCATTATTTATGTAAAGAAAATGTTAAATTAAAACTATGTCTGTGTGGATCAGGTGAAGACTGGATCTGTGAGTGCAATACCCTTCAACCCAAAGTGCCCATGGTCCCCCTGTCTCTTCCTCCTCTCTTCTCTTTCCCTCTATCCTCTCTTTCCTTCTTTTCTTCATTTTAGGGGGATATACTTAACAAATTCTGCACATCATGGTGAAAAGAAGCTGCATTACCATCTACTTCATGCCCAGAACCATCTAGCCAGCTGAGTGGGAGTTCCTTCCAACAGAAGGGGAATTACAGAGTTGAGCCATTCTTTCTGCAGATGGAAAGCACCCTGTTTTTTGAGGATGAAAAGCTTTTCCAAGCTCCACATAATAGGTGATGGGAAATATTAGAATTCTCATTGCACACCTGGTTCCTCCTCTGGAATGACTATGTTCTCTTGGTCGGTGAGCCTCCAGAGGACTGCTCTATGACTCAATCAGAGGTAAGGCTGATGTACACTATGAGGTCTTGTCTTTCAAGTAGGGCTCAGACAAAACTGTTACATGGTAGCTGTGGTTTTTTCCCCCCCCCGGATCATGTGTAAAAGCTTCCAGTACCAATCTCAGACCCTAGGAAGTGCTCTGAAAAGCACCAATTCCCATTTATTCGCTTACAGAAAAAGAAAATGTATTTGATTTTACAGTCCTGGAATAGTACACATTTTTAAATAATTTAAAATAACAGTAATAGTCAATGTTACCTGTGAAGAAAGTAGTTGATGATGACTCCATTTGGCTTTTCAGGTGGCATCCATTTAACCTCTATGCAAGCTGACCCCAGTGCCTTAAGAACCGGGGAATGTAGATCCATTGGGGCTGCTTCAAATGTTTTGACAAACGTCCTACTGCTAACTCCACAACTTCCTTGAAAAAAATTGAGTCCTTTAGTAATTTGTCAAGCAGGGAAAAGAACTACATATGCATTTAGAAGGATAAGGAGATCATGGAAATCATTTTAGCTGAACTTTTATATATGACCCTTGTACACATATTTTAGAACAGTACTATATAATATAATCTCTATATAATTTGAATGTATTTATATGTACACATATTTTATATTATATTTATATTATGTATATTTAAATAGAGAATCAGTTTTGAAAAATCCATTAAGTAACCACAAATTTATAGAGGCATAGATAAGAATGCTTATGCTTGTCTGAATTATGGTTTCTCTAGTTTATTACAGTTATTCTGCCAGAAAGTGATAATGTACTTGAATATCATAAGTGTGTATGACCTGCATATCTTGTATAGTCTTTTTTTTTTTTTTAAAGATTTTATTTATTTTTTAGAGAGCGAGCGAGAGAGAAACAGCATGAGAGGGGAGAGGGTCAGAGGGAGAAGCAGGCTCCCCGCTGAGCCGGGAGCCCGATGTGGGACTCGCTCCCAGGACCCTGGGATCATGACCTGAGCCGAAGGCAGACGCTTAACCATCTGAGCCACCCAGGCACCCCCATATCTTGTATAGTCTTAATAATATCTTATTTTTGCGAATATTTTAAAATAATGACCATCTCCCAACATGCAGGAATCAATTAATTTGAAGAATATTGTATCTCCATAGCATAGTTTTAGAGACATAGAGATGTAGAAGTTGATTTTGCATTTAAATAAAGAAAACTCTAGTTCAAAACCATTTCTATGTTGATTAGCTGAGGACTGAATCAGAAAAAACAGTATCCTTTAAAACAAAATGCCTTGGTTTCATTTGTAGAGAGAAGGGGGCAAACTGACTCACAATTTTGGAGATGAGACAAAGCAAAATCACAGATCCCTCATCCTAATCAACTCCATGGGAACTGATACTCATTTGGAAACAGAAGTTCCTAAGCACAAATAAGATAGGAGTTCCCACCACTCAAGTATAAGATTGGGACATTTCTTTAATTTAAAGTGGAACAACATGTTTTATACACCAATATGAGTTACACTTTTTCTTCTCTTATTAATATATGATGTAACATTTGGAGGGATGAAGGGACTGAGGGAGGCTCTTCCTTAAGACCATAGAGATGGATGATGATTTCATAGATCACTAGCCTAAGCCATGAAACTCAGGGTGACAGTCTGCATATATGAGATAGAGTTCAGGGAAGCACAGTAAAATACATAAGTGTAACTCAAATTCTAAATAATGTCTTCCCTCACCCCCAAATAAAACTTAAATAAACCAAAGTGAGTACCTTTTCTTTTTGAAATTTTCATAATACCTATTTTGTTTTATATTACCAATGATTCCTTTATATGATCTAGGCGTTTTTCCTTTAAAGGGCCTTATAAAACAAGACTTTGCAAAACCACCATTTTTTTTGTTTGTTTGTTTCCATTATGGTTCTTGGTGTACTTTATTCTCCTGCTGTCTAGCTAAGCAGCCCACACAGGACAGAAACGGGTAGCACTGAGGAATGATCAGATTTTTTTTCTCCCCAATATTCCTGCACCCTCCCTAAGCCCTGACCAACCCCTACCTATCAGGAATGTGCAAAACCACCATTTTAATATATTTAAATATTCATGATTTAATGTGCAGAAATGCATAATGCTTCACTCAATGCCAGGCTCTGATTTTTCTGGGTAAACAGTCCAGTACAAATAAGAAGTGAAATGTTAGTCTTTGTATTTGAATTGAGAATCTATTCCTTTTTAATGAATTTTTTCATAAAAATACTTTTTTTTTTTTTTTTAAATAAAAGCCCGGGACAAGTGTCTGAAAGACTTTCACCATTTTGACACGCTTGTATCCTTATCTCGTATTGTGTGAATGGAGCCAAATTTTCCAGAAGGATGCATTGATGATGACCAACAGAGGAGGTCAGAGGTGCTACACTTCCAGCATTGAGTAAGACATTGTACTCCACAGGCATTTTGGGGATGAGGATCCCTTTAAAGAGAGAGAGAGAGAAAACATATGTATGCTATACAGAATGGTCAATAAATGTTTGTCTTTTAAAAACAATGAATCTTTAACATTTTATAGCTTAAAGGTATATTATTGCTGAATATAGCAATTAATAACTGTATGAATGTATATTCCAAAAGTAAAAAAGTGTGTATCACCCATTTTCAAAAACAAATGAAGTACATATAATAGTTCTATTCAAAGGCATACTCTATGGGCAAATAAAAACGAAGGCATGTTTCACTTCTTAAAAAATATAAGGCAATTAGAAATGGTGTCATATATTTTTGCTAGGCTTACTTCCTCTTAAAGTACATAAAAAAACCCACCAGTTTTGCTTGTGGCAATAATTTTTCTGTAGACATTGTGTATGCATCCAGTCTGACACAGATCCTTGACATAAGAGCCCATAAAGTATCCAAATCATAGTCTACCTAGAGAATTCCCAGTGCATTAATTAACGAGTTAGGACAGTCCACTCTGTCAGGGAGACTTATGGACCTAAATACATATGAAATTTGGGTTCAAAACTGTCATTTTTCACAAAGCTTCTGGAAGAAAGAAGGTCTTGTCAGTTTAGCCTCTTCACAATCTGTTCATATAATTAAATGCCTGTAAGTTTTATTTGGTCATGAACAACATGTACATTTTTTTTTCAAGGAGAGTATATGAGCCTTGAATGAAGAATATAATGGAATTTCTCATGAGACTTTCTCATTGATCTGATAGCTTATAACATTTGTGGGTTTAATTACTTACCTTTGTAGTACTTAAATAAGGTTATCTTTGCTATAGAAGCAATGAAATCTATAGCACAGGACTCAATAACCCTTTAGAAATGAGGTCTAAAAAAATGAAATCAAGGTTTGCTTTTTGTAGATATAGCCCCAATTGTATAAGAGGCGGAAGAGCCAGGACAAAGCAGAGATGCTTGGGATTTTGTGTAGGATAGATGAAAATAAGGACTCAACAAAGGATATATGGATCATAGTCAGAGGGACTGATCAGTTGTTTCCTTTAGAAAGATGCAATTATGCTGAACCCAGACTAAGAATTTTTATTTTAAATTAGATCATCCTGGTTAAATTATCTGTTGTATTTGTCCTAATGGCTTAAATTACTACTATTCTATCACTGATTCCTAAATTCCTATCTCCGGCTTTTTATCTCTCTTGCATTCCAGATTCTATTTTCAGCAGCCTACTTCACAGAAACCTCAATCTCAACAGGTCCAGAGCATAGTCACTACATTTTCCACTCCCAAACCTGTTCTTCTTGGGTCTCCTTTCCATTTTCCTATGCCAGAGGCCTTAGAGTAAACCCTTATGCATTCCAGTTGCATGCAAGACAGTGTACTCCATAAAGTCAGGGGGCTCTGTTCTCCCCAGTGTAGTTCCAGTGCCTAGAGTTTAGCACATATTTGCAGCTCAATAAACGTTGGTTTGAATGAATGAATGAAATCTCAGAACAATATTGTAAAGCAAATGTTAGTACGTTTTTTTAAGATGAGAAAACTAAGCAATTTGTTCCAGATTGCACATTGGTTACTTGGGGTAGTCAGACTTGAACTCAGGTCCATCTGATACCAAAGCTTAACTCTCTGTATTTATGCTCTCTCTTGGTAATGGAGACTTGGATTAGGACAACAGGGGGAAAATGAGAGGATAATTTTGAGACAACATGGGTAGCCGGGCAGAACAGGTATTGGACACTGATTAGGGGGAAAAAAAGGTGATGGAAAAATTAGAATTCCCACTGACGGAACTAAATTATAGGTGAATATTTGAAGTTCTGAAGGGCAGATTTCTGAAACTGAAATACACATATCCTACACGCTTGTGGACTTTTGTTGAAGGATTTTCAAAGACAAGGATAAACATGGTACCTCTTCCTAGAATGCCAGTTTGACCTGTAAAATTTGGGAAATGCAAGCCTTCCTTGCCTGAGCAAACCAGCAGAATCCCACTTTTCCTTGTTCACAAAAATTTGGTATGGATTTTTCTTCCTAAAAAGCCTCAGACTAGGAAACTAGATGGGTACCGAGTGATCCGAAGTTTGACTAGTCAGTTGTTTTAACTCTATAGTCACCTCAGAACTAACTAAATGACAGCAGAAGTTTATGCTGACATAATCAGTGTGTTGAACAAGTACAAGTCCTATTCATGATGCAATCAAAACACCACTTAATTTGAGTTGCTCAGTATTGCTTTAAAATGAATTCATCATGGGTAATCTTCTGTAGACACAGGATGAAAATTTGACTGGGCCCACACTTCTGCTGAATCTCAGGTAATAGACATTTCTATGTTATTTTTTTTCCATGAAGAAAAAAAGATGTGACAAAGATTAATGCCTAGAAAATGTAAATAAATCTATTTTTCTCTTTAATGGTATAGTGAATACACATACTGGGCTTATTTAGAAGATATTCTTTGAGGCCTAATTCTCAGCTGTAAGACAAAACTGGGAATGTTTTTACTGCTCCCAACAAGACTGCTATAGTTAAAATTAAGTTTGAGAGTTAGATAAAGAGCGTTGATTATAGGGACCATTTGAAACTCTTAGTACATTAATGAGTGAGGAAAACCTATGTACTATATTAGAGGTAAAATAAAGACCAGTATAATCAGGCTTTTATTTCCCCACTAAAAATGTTCTTTAGAGATTGTTGTTTGAGGTAGTAAAAGAGAATGAAGAGTGGATCAGGGACTTTCTCAGTTTGTAGTTTGACCTGTCATCAGGACGATATGCTTATGGAAATTTCCATCCACAGTGTCTTGGAATGTCACAGTATTCACCTCCCATTTTGGGCATTTTTCCTTATTGTTACCCTGACATAGTCTGTAAAGCGGGGGGGGGGGTAGTTTGCTGTTTGTACCCACATATTTATAACAAAATGAAGACAGAAAGAATTGCCTGGACATTGACCTTGTTATTGGGGTCAGCTTTCTCCAGAGTGACCTAATATCAAAATATAGCAGCATATCACTCTTTATCCAAGGAGATTAGTAAAAAAAATTCCCCTAATGATAAATTATGAAATACATTATTTTTTGGATGAAGACAAACACATTGGAATACAATGGCAAATTTGTATGAGTTTTTTTTTTTTTTAAAGATTTCATTAATTTGACACAGAGAGAGAGAGACACAGTGAGAGAGGGAACACAAGCAGGGGGAGTGGGAGAGGGAGAAGCAGGCTCCCTGCTGAGCAGGGAGCCCGATGCAGGGCTCGATCTCAGGACCCCAGGATCATGACCTGAGCTGAAGGCAGATGTTTAACAACTGAGCCACCCAGGCGCCCCAAATTTGTATGAGTTTTTAAGCTAAAAAGCAAGACCTTAAAGAAATTGCAAGCTTATGGTGATTGCTTTGGGCAGTTTCTAGACCTCCTGGGATTGATTGCATGTTCATTCTGTCTTCTCTGTTTCTGGGATAGATTTTACAGAAAAGTTTAGCAAACACACATTTTAAAAATATTCTATCATTTTTGTTGAACTAGGTAAACCACAGAATGGAGTCAGGCAGATCAAATCCCTTCTCTGCCCTTATTTGTTGTAAATTACTTAACCTCTATGAATGCTGGTCTCTTCATCTGTAAAATGATGATACTAATAGCCACCTCATAAAGAGCTGTAAGGATTAAATTAGAAAATGCATGTAAAATATTTTAGTACATTCCTGAGACATAGAAAGTGCTGAATTAATGATAGACATCTCAGCAAATCAAAATGAAATGGAACAAAATGGAAAAAAAACCCCACATCTATGACACTATTTTATGTGCCTCAAATACTCTGAACCCACCTTTTTAAATAAAGTTTCTATTCTAATTACAAATAAATGTTACATTCATTTAAGTAAATCTTTTTATAACAATATTCTAATCTAGTTTGGTTTTTTTATGAATACTTGGATATGATCAAGTTGTATTCTTATGAAGATATTTTTCATTGCTAGCAGTAATTTAGAAATGATCTTCCCTTCAATTCATCTGAGATTGCGCTTTACTGAATGTCTTCCTCTGTACCTACTGGTCTGTTTCCAGTAACTTCTCTGCTTAGAAGGACAGGATTCCTAGGGGGTCAGGGAACAAAACTGTGCTTCTGCTACATTTCAAATATAGACATAATCTTGACCTAGGTTTCAACATGGCTAGTCAAGGCACGAACCTGGAAAATGTATTTTTTACATCTTGGCTAATTGGAAATAAATGTCCTTTATATATATCTATGAGGTGTTGAAAGAGAAAATGCTCCTTGAAGCTGTGAGCATGTCAAACAATGATATGTATTTAGGAAAGAGGGCCCCTCCACTGTCATAATTTACAGGACTGTGACATGAAAGGCTCTTGTGTTCCTGCAAACCCTACACCATCTGCAATGAGTCTGAAACAACCTAGCCCCCTGGTATTCTGATGACTAAATGAAATGAAATGGGCATATTTGTTAAAGTCAGCTGGGAAGCCACGCGACTTGGTTAGTTCCCGAGTTCATAAATTTATGTCAGAGGAAGAGGAGCAGTGGAAGCTCAAGTGAACCAATTTACCCTAAGTGCAAATGGCAGTTTTGTTATTTGGTGGTGTCAAAGTTACCAGTCCCACAATGACAAGCTGCCATAACACATTTTCTTGTTCACTAAAGAACAAGGATTTCGTTGGTTAATATTCCTTGCAATGCTCCTTTTCATAATTTACAACAACTAGATGCTGATAGGTTATTTAACATTTATGAAGTTAAGATGTAATCAGAAAAACCCTGATTATCTTTACAAATAAAAAAGTTAAATTATTCAACTTTTTTTTTTTCTCTGTGGCTTCATTTCACAGCAGGTGCATACTTTACAATGGGACAAGTCAATCAAATAATCCTTTTTTAAAATCTTTTTTTAGGAGCTGGAGCAGGAACAATTCTAAGAGGAAAACTATTAATTCGGTTTGATAGCTGCATTTGCTTCAAAACACTGGTCGCACTTAATGTAAT